TATCTCTTTCAATATCTCTTTCAATATTAGTGCTGTAAGTATTTTAATTAAGTGTTCTTCCTGTAAGTAAAATTGCAGAAAAAAAGATATCTCTTTCAAAGTTTCAATTGCTGTGCCTCCGTGTAACATTTGTTTATAATAAGTTAACAGATATTCAGGTACATCTTTATGTACATGATAAAATAAATGTGTTATATAATTTCAGAGTACATGGAACTACTAGTGTGTTGCTACATGTTTTCAATAGTAATGATAAATATATTATTGGTTCTAAGTTATTTCCTTTCACCTATTGTCAAAAGAAGAAAATTGATATGAGTGAAGGGAGGAACAGTGCTCTAACGGCTAGTGTGCTGGATTACGGATTGAACAGTCCGGGTTCAAGTGCTGACCAGCGGCATTATGTTCTCCTCTCAGGTATAAATGGGTACCGGCAAATTTAATGCTGGTGAGTAACCCTGTGATGGACTAGCATCCCATCTTGGAGGCAGTAGAAATCAATTCTAGTTGTGGAATGTTATGGGAACTGGGATAGTAATATTAGCTCAGTATGGACCAGTTAGGCCTACCCTAGAGTGAAACCAAACATTCTTGTCATTTATTATACATTTGTCTTGAAAAAGGTCACCTTATTTAGGGCATAGAGATATGTTGTGGGTTATATTATTCAGATGCCTATAATTCCTATCAATGCTTATTAGCAAAGTTACATGTGTACCAAACTTGGTTCAAGTGCTCAAAATATTGAAAAAGTTCTGTTTCATTTGTTTTGGCCTAGACAAGACTTCTTAAAAATGGAACAACAACTGCATCATACTTTACTACTATTCACTATGAGGCCACAGAAATCTTTTGTAATATCGTCGGTGAGTACATGTACTACAGACTACATAAGTGAAGCCCAGGGCATATGGCCTATCCATTTGTATGGATACAAAGTATGGATAATACTATCCAGTTGATAAACCGCTATTCAGTGGATAAGTGTTTGCAAAACAAACTACGTTATCCACTGGATACTCATTAAGTGATTTAGCCAGGGGATATCTTATCCCTCTTTTGAACAATCAGTGCCAGAATGTTAGCTTGACCACACCCATTGATTGAGCCAACTGAGGTGTCTGCATAATTCAGGCTTGACTGTACATGTATTGAATATATTTTAATACGTCATGAAAACATCATTCTATTAATAGATGAACTTGGACAGAGAGCCTATGTTGGAAAAGTTTGTATGGATATTAACAGTCCACACTACTATGTTGAAAAAACACAACAGTCTATACAGGATACAGAAAGGTAATTTATGAAATCTCCTCAATCTTAAATTCATACCTGAGTTGTTTTAGTCATGTTTCTGTCCCAACTATAAGATATCAACCACATCATTCCATTTTTATCAAGTTTAGGTCATCGCACTTTTTATCTTATAGTAAATACGCACCACAAAAATGAGTTCATAAGATATTTGTTATATCGCTCACCAAGAGAAAGGAAACTATTTCAAGTTAAGGTGGTGAGAATTGGGCCATACTATAACATATGACAATCACAGTGCATTTACCATTCAAGAGATAATTAAAAATAACTTTGAATACATGAATAAAGTACTGTCTGTTCTTGTTTAATATTAAATATTGAAGTGCTTGTAAACTTTTAATTTCTGTTTAAATGATAATGCTATGGAAATTCAATAACACTAATCTTGCTTTAAAAAAATAATTATAAAATAGGCCTGTACTTTATTTAAAACATAAATGTTATTTGAGCTGACATAGTTATATTCTATTGTTGCAGGATAATCAATTATATATTGGGACTCAAGGTACTACATGCCTGAATCTATGAAATTAGGTGAAACTAGATGCTGAAGTACATTTTGTAGCATGAAGTTCATTTTGAGCAATAGAGGCAAAAAAGAGTGAGACAGGATGGGTTTAACAAGCTTTTTAAAACTCTGCCGATGAATTAATGTTAAGTATCTTTTCTTGATAGACCTGATTGCCAAAGTTTAGGACATGTTACTTTGCATTTTTCAGATAGTTTTCATGAAAGTTTAACAAAAAGTTAGCCACTCATCTTAGAAGTCTTTAATGCAAAATTGAAGCCACTTAGAGGGAACCCGCCAGAATGTGCCTTTTTATCATGTACCAGTTTGCTAAATAAATTAGTTGTACTGTTGACTGTGTGCCGTTTGCCTCAAAGTTCCTGTTGCATGTGTGTCTTGTAGAATCCTCTCATCACTCCTGTTGTTACTCCAAGATTTGTTCTCTCTTGTTCCTCGGATCTGATGAAGAATTTAGGACATCTTGCTAAGAAATATGATCTTCCAATTCAGGTAAAGCTGTCATGTTGAGAGCCATATGATCAAGGAGGAAGTCTTGGGGAAAGTTTGATTGAACTTTGCTATTGTTCCCAAGGGAACCCGGAAGTACAGGCTCTTGGTCTTCAGAGAAATAATTCAGTTTCAGTTATCTGATTAAGAATGGTTTTACCTGTGCTCTTCAAAGCAAAGCAGTTACTTTGCTTGTTTGATTGTAGGAAACTTTTCATAGCTTCCTTGCTGTCTAATATTCAGCCATGAATTTGCTTAATTAACCAGGAGAAAAATAGTTATACTGTCTGGGTTACCAGTTTCTATAAACAGATATTTTTCACAAACTCATTCATGTTAATTTTAATTAATTGTATCTAATTGAATAACGTATTTTTAGAGTCACTTGAATGAAACAAAGAAAGAAATCTCCTTGGTGAGAGAAGGCTATCCAGATCATAGCTATACTGCCATATATGATAAGCATGATTTGCTGAACAGTAAGGTAGGTAGGTCAGATATAACAATAATTATTATCAATATGGTGTGTAATTCAGATATTGATGATTATCATACCTACAGCAAGATGTATACACAAGTTTCTTTTTTGTTGTTGTTGAGAAGTACTTACCACTCTTAAAACACTTCATTGCTGTCAATATCTTTTAACAGAAAATAATTGTGGCCATATGCTTACTAAATATCAGGAGGGCAAAATCACTCTCACCACTTGTCAATCTGCCCTTAATCCTAAGTCCTTAGTGAGACCATATCTGTTCAATGAAATTCTGAATGAAAATTTTTATGATCAGTTGCTTATCTTTTCTTATCTTATGATGATATCCACTAAGTAATAGGAAAAACAACAAAAAATTTGTTGAGCTACATCCAATTATGTAAAAGTAACAGCCCCCTGGCCTGCCGTGGAAAAAAGAACATCTGACTGTAGATTAACAGAAATGTTTCATGTTGCATTTAGGTCTGAAGCATTTGAGGGTTACTTACAGTTTACTTATTCAATTATTTTGTAGACATACATGGCACATTGCTGTCACTCAACAGAGGACGAACTCAGTCTTATGTTAGAAAGAAGTACAGCAGTGTCCCATTGCCCAACATCAAATTTTAAGTGAGTGTTACATCTATCTGGATATCTCAAATTTGTATAATAGTTGGTAATAAACAATGGGTATCATATCATCTTTTTAACCACAAATATCAACATTTGTGAGGAGAACTTCAATCAAATAGTAATAGCCGTGCTCCGGCACCCAGAGGGGTTGCCAAGCGGCGCTCCATACTCATATAGGAAAGAAAAAGAAACCCATGAATTGGTTTTCTCATGGTTATCATGGCTAGTGGCATTGCTTGTGGGTGCGTATGCATGACAACGACTAAGTCGTGCAACATGGCGGGCATACTCCAGCTAATAGGTTGACTGACACATGCGGCCTTGGTTTACAGCATACATTTTTGAAGTTGACAGCTGCCCAAGACTGGATTGCAGTCTCAAGCCAGGTTAACTTATTGTAATCAGGAGCTCTGCTTCTAGGCTTGGCTAACTCTGTATGTTATGACCACTGAAATAAAGCAAAGAAAAACTCTGTCAAGCTAAGTGAGAGAATGCAAGCCTTTTAATACAATTCACAGTTTAAGAGGGCATTTGCTATCCAATCAGATTTAATCCCTGTTAGAGTTCTTTGTACTTGGAGTGCTGTAATTGGACACCTTTTCCACCTGTAATGTGTGTGAAACGTCCAGTTACATTACATATTACAAGTATTCAGTGTCTACTATAATCAGATTTGAGAATTTTGCTGTGAGTTAATTAATAAGTGTACTAAAGTGAAACCCTGCTGTTCTGGGTGTTGTTTTTATGTGGCTGGGAACATGGTTTACAAGTAGTGCCTGTTAGGGGTTAAAAAAGCAGGCAGTTAAGCTTGGGAATGAACTCCAACAAATTTGCTATCATTACACTCTTATGTTGATTGAGCTTTGTGCATTACAGTATCAGAAGTGGTGTTGCTGATGTTAGGCACATGTTAAACTTGAAGATGAAAGTGGGATTAGGCACAGGTAAACATATTGAACATGTTAGTAAGTGCGTAGGCACAGTAACCTGGTGAATTCATTACAGCCAACTCTCAACGATTCTAACTAGTTTGGTTTCTGTGTGAGAGAGTGAGCGCTCTCTTACAAAGCCACATTGGCTGGGTAGATGAGAGGTGTCTGAAAATGGTCCAGCGAACAAATCAGAACTGGGAATGCTCTTAATTCAAGTCAAAATTGGTGTGGTATTGCTACTGATGTGTTGGTTAAAGAGTTCAGTATTTTTGTTCCGAGCTGTCAGAATATGATACACACCTTTTAACACACCTTTTTATTTTAATAGTTTAGTTATTTTAATAGTTTCCTTAATTTTTTAAAACATTTTCTTCGCAAAGGAGACCTGCATTGCTTATCAACAATTGTAGCACTGATTTCAAGTGGACAAAATTAATTTAGAGTTCTTAATCTGATTTAATCCCTTTTAGATGTTTCTGGTGGAGAATCACCATCAATGTTGGTAGCTATTCGTGACTGCGTCAAGGCGTCAAATGTTGTAAGCTTTGGCAAGTCAGATGGGTTTAAACCACTCAGTTTTAAAGAGGCTTTTTTCCTTGCTACTCTTGGAGGAAGTCAAGGTGAGCTATGTACAATATTGCTGAGTTAGTACTATCATCATTTCTCACATAAAATTGTTTTGTATTTCTCTATTTCATAATCCATTTGGGAAACCCAGGCTAGATGCAATGTTCATTTTTATCCATCATGTTGAATGGCTCGTGTAAAACTATCACGCAACATTCTTCAAGCAAAACATGTTATGAAAATGCTTGAACCAGGGGCAAGTAAATGATCAGAAATTTTGTCCAGAATGATGTTGAATAATTAATATTAATTAAAGTCATTTTTCTGGCGCTTTATTTACAGCAGGGCAGGAAAAACTATTGAAATCCAGTTGCCCAGTGGGCTAGTACATTTCAGTTTTCAGTTGCCCTCACTAAAATATTACTTGCCCAATAGGCACACAATGTTCATATCTTATTGACTACATGCTTTCGACTCATTGTTTTGCTCATCTTGCAGTCTTTTGAAATTGTTTTTGATTGGAGATGATCACTAACAAGACCACTGAGGCTAATTTCACTTGCCCACTGGACCACCAAACTTTCATTTTCACTTGCCCGAAAGCAAACTTTACTTGCCCTGGGCAATCAGGGAGGCAGCATGGCCGAGTGGTTAGAGCGCCGGATTTGAAATCCGTGGGTCCTGGGTTCCAATCCCATTCTGACCGCTAGTGATGTTGTTCTTGGTTGCCCTGAGTTCAACTTCTTGACTACGCTTGTAACTACCCAACTGCTCTGCCTCCCGCCAGTTGGGATTCTTAACCTAGTTAGGTTCATTCGAATATTTATTTATCATTGTTTGTTTACATTGGTCCTGAAAAGCCCCAATGGGGAGTGGCCAATTACATATACATTTTAATTACGTATACATTTTTTTTACATTTTGTTACTTTGTGGGCAAATTGTATCGACTACGGGCAAGTTGGTGGGCATGTGCAGCTGGGACCCTGGAACCCTTAGCCTATACTAGAGCTACAGTTTTGTTCAGCTGAATTTTGCTACCCTATACTAGAGTAACCAGTATTAAAACCACAGATTTCCGTCTGAATCCCGATTTTTGACTGTTAATAATATCTAGTAGTGTTTTATGATAGTCATCTATTGACGATGTTGAGGCTGAGTTACAAAAATTTAAACTTGCCGATCTCACTTTTTTATATTTTTGAGTGGCAATTCCTGGTTTCCTTAGTTTAGATAAAATCTTCAACCAACTGGTCAGTTTCTTGAAAAATGATACCCTATTTTAGACCCAAACGCTCTGATTTATATACCCTATGCTAGAGTAAACTGCTTGAAAACTATACCCTTCACAGCGGCACATACCCGCATAGCCCATATATGGCAGTACCTCCCCCCCCCCTGGGGTTCACCCATAGCATCAAGGGTTACAGCCCTTATTGACAGCCCTGAATTGTACACTGTTCAACAAAAACAAACCCTAATTGTTGAGTTGTTATGATCTAGCCGCCATCTTAATCATGATTTACAGTGATCATGACAAGTGTGACTCTCTTTTGTTCTAAACTGATCTGCTCTGCTACATAACACTAGGTATTGGAACCTCTGTATAACAAGGAATTTTGTGCCCATTTGTGTTACTATTGTGTTGTAAAATTAACAAGGCAGCACAAGCAACTATCTTAAGTTGCAAACTTCTGTAAATAAGTAAATAAATTAATTAATTAATAACCACACAAACAAACAAACAAACAAATAAATAGATAAATATTTAACCCTATATCCGAGGGCAAAATTGCTCCTTTAACTTTTTTGCAAAAGGCTGCAATAATAATAGTGATATCCCTTGTTCTTTCAAATTGATCCAAAAAAGTATCCCTCTTTCATTTGAACTAAATGACGATGTTCCTTTGTTTCCCAAAACCTTTGGGAAGCCCCTTTGACGCGAAAGTCCATCTGAATACATTATTGAGTAGAATTTTTGTTCATTTGAATATTCTATAACTTGTTTTCTATTGTTGCTGGCGTAACTGTGATAAATGTTGATGATTGTTTTTTTTTATTATTATTATTTTGATTCTGGTTTAGTTCTCGGCCTTGATGACAAGATAGGGAATTTTGAGGTAAAGTCAGTTTCTGCTCATTTATCAGCTCGTTACTTCTGCAAAACACTGATATATTGGTTATTAACTTCCTTATTAGGTCGGTAAAGACTTTGATGCTTTAGTTATTGACTCTGATGCCCCGGATGCACCGTTTGATCGTTTTAATGCAGATGATTCAAAGGTATGATTAATCACTGGTTCAATGAACTGATCAATACTCGAAGTAAATGCATTTAGCTGACTTAAACCTTGGGAAAACGTCTGCGAGCGAATCACTGTTGGTTTTGGTTTGACTTCTAGTTGGATGGCAAAGTAGACTGAGTTTTTTAAGTCAATCGTTTAGCGTAGCAATGCAAAACATAAGCAAATACGGATTATTTTTGATTCACAAGGGAAAACCGCTCTGACAAAGTAACAAATATTTGTTTTGTTGGATAACTATCGTTTTATTTTCTTACGAAAATGGCTGTATTGAAAGTATTTATTGCTGTTTCTCGTTCTAGGATATAGTTCAAAAGTTTCTTTTCCTTGGTGAGTAGCTGAGTGATTCTCTTGTTTCAATCTTTTCCTGGAATTGGTTTGCTTTCTTATTTGGTAGGTAATCTTAGACATGTTTCAGCATCCTTAATTGTTTTTCTTTCGCGACAGGTGACGACCGAAATATTCAACAAGTGTACGTGGCTGGAAAACTTGTTTCAGGACGAGATGTCGTCACAAAGAGTCCACCAGAATACATAGAAATTGATTAGATATTGGAATACGCTATAGTACCCGTCCAGAACCGGGACAGATACAGAGGGAGGTACAGAGCGGGGGGGAGGGTACAAAGGGAAATACATGGGGATACGAGAAGAGACTACAAACTTGATTACATCACGACTGTCAGTGATCGTTTAAGATGATTCTCCCTCTGCTTCCTGATTGATGCACGATGTAATTGTTGTAGTTATAAATTTGTAAGTCTCATGTGGTCAAAGTAGTATTTTGGTAGCTATTGTGTAAATTTAATCCATGAATCGAGCCGAAAACCAAACGAAAAATTCGCAATGCCTGCGGACCTGACAAGAGAAGATAAAGAGGGATAGGGTATTCAGTCCTCTCGTGAATAATGTTACCACGCGCGGTGCGTGGGTGGTGCGTGGATGTTTACTCGGAGGATGACAATACGTGCAAGGTGCTCAGGCAGTTCGGCTGCGTGAGTAACATTTGCGTCACAGGATTACCAATTTCTAGACCTCTCTGGAATTTCTAAGGCCTGGGGTGATCTAAAAATAACTTGAAAGAAATCGCGTTTCTTTGGGTTTGGCAAATATGTTATGGTATTTTGTCTTGGTGGAAACATATTGATGCAACGCAACGTTTCTGTTGAAATTTACAAACTGAGGAATAAAGAGTGCAAATTTGTTCAAAGCGCGTGCAAGTTGTTTGTTTCCAGACCAGCCCCTCAAGGGACGTTATTTCTTTGGTTAATGGCCCCTTAATACATCCACAAGCAAGTTCCTTCAAAAAGGGACCTTGATCAGAAGCGCCAACAAAGAGTCGAAAAGAGCATGTTCTCCATTGTGCGACAGGCATGCATTCGTTAATACCTTCGTTTCTTTCATCACTTTGGTTTACTGACGTGAGATGACGAATCCTTCCATCTTTGTTTTGGAGATGAGATGGCTCTTTGACTCTAATGTTGAACATATAAGAAGCAGTTAGTGTTGTGAGGTTATCCGTCCGGTTTTGACGGAAGAAAGTGCAACTATGATAAGTAGCTCTATGGTAAATTCTAACAGTATATTGCAAAAGCATAGAACTTAACAAAACAAGAGATAATGATGTAATAAAAAAAAGGGGCATGCAAGTCAAGGTACATTGGTCTGATTTTGTTAAAAGATTATTGCGTACATCTGAACATTGTAAATAAGTAAACTTCGTCAACTGAATATTAACAAAATGATCTGGAGAATTAATTAATTCTGTGGTAGCTTCTACTGGAGATAATTAGGTGACATTCGGAAGTGATTTTTTCTTTTAAGAATTGAGTACAGGGACAGTAGAAAGGTGATTTTCGTCTTCAATTTGATTGGATCCACATGAAGGACAGACAAACTTGGGATTTAATAATACCACTTTCAATCATGAGTTTGTGATAACCTATTCGAAGTTTCACTTATTTTCGTATTATTAAGTTTGCTTGACTTGTGGTTAAGTATTGGAAATCGGCCCAAAGAGAAAATACTTGCGCTGATTGGTTTAAAATCGTGTTTCTATTTAACATTGCGCTCTCGTCAACCATCACGCATATAAATCGAGAGCGAACAATCTTATTGTTTTAATATAAATCTTCATCTAGTTTATCTAAAGCCTTTAGCCGTTCAAATCTTTATCTAAAGCCTTTTCCCAGACACCTAGAAAACGCAAAGACGCGGCCCCACACTGCTACGCTACTCGCTATCTACAACAGAATAAATAGCGAGTAGCGTAGCCAATCAGAGAACGGCATTCGTGATAGAGCAGTAGAAGATTTATGTTGAAGTCTGAGTTCATTTGAATAAAATAATTGAATAAAACTCGATAGAAACACAGAACTAGCACAGGCTGTGGCGCAAGCAGAGATAATTTACATTTTGATGATCAAAGTAAACAACTTTTTTTTCGCTGCGGCATTTTCTAAAAGACAGCAAACACGTTCTCTACTAGTCTCCCGCCCTTTTCCCTCTTTCCATCGTTCCCCGCGCGCCCTCCCACTCCCAATATTAAATTTCCCACAGGGAGCCTCCGCGAAGTAATACCAATGAATCGCAAGTGGCGTTCGTCGTAGGAGAAACTAACTGCTCGCAGGATAAGGGGCAGTTTAGTTTAGGAAGAAAAATCGGCGTCGAAACGTAGGATAAAAAGCCCTAATTACATGTAACTGTCTCAGGAAATTCAGCGATCACAAGTCATTGATGCGAGCAAGGTCTAATATGTTAATTAGTTTACACAGCTTCTGGTTTGCCGCAAAATAGACCATTTTACAGTTGTCTGCTCAGTGACCTGGCCTTTGTATGGCAGCGAGGCTAGAGTTGACCTTGTTTTGATACAGAC